ACGGCAGGGGTGATGCTTTTCAGAGCGCAATTGCTAGCGCGCGCCGCTTCTTCAACCAGAACAAGGATGATGCAGCCGAGCTCGACACGGCGCTCGAAGGTTCCACTGGCACTGTCGCAAATGGCGAGGCGACTGATCCTAAGATGATCAGCCCCGTTTTCCACCAGTTCCTTGACTGTGTCTACCAGTTGCTGCGCCAGAACCCCGACCGTTTCGAATTCAACGAGCGATTCCTTCGCCGTTTGCTGTACCATCTCTACTCATGCCAGTACGGCACCTTCCTCTACAACTCAGAGAAGCAGCGGCATGATGTTGACTTGTCACACAAGACTTCGTCGGTCTGGGGATATTTCCTCTCGAGGAAAGCTGAGTTCACCAACAAAGCCTACAACCCCACTGTGGATGATCATACCAAGGGCCTTGAGCGTATTATTCTGCCCGTCCTGGACAACATCCGTTGGTGGCACCAGTCGTTCAACCGGACCGACGAGGAGATGAATGGCGACCTGCATGCTGCCGCTGCTGCTCAGCAATCAAAGGCTTCAGCAATGGCCAACTTTCAGCCATCGACTGAGATGTCTTACGCTCAGAGCCAACCAAGTACGCCTCCCAAAAGTGATAGTCCCAAACCTCCCGGGCTCCCCACCAGCCAGTCGGTCCTCAGCGCGGTTGAGACCGCTCATACGACTCTGACGCCAGAGCCGCGTGCTCTGCACAGAAGTGCTTCTGCCGAGGGCGCCAACGGTAATGCGTTCTCGGCCATTCGCAATGGCATCGCTGGCAACATTGGCAGGGGCATGAATGCCTTGAGCAACTTGGGCAACCGCGGCACATCACCGGGCCCATCGACAGCGACGGCAACGCGCACCGAGCAGGAACTGCACAGCCTGACGTAGGGCGTCATGTTCGAGCGAATGCACGAAGCGCCCTACGAGCTCCTTAATCACCCGCGCGACCTTTTGGATGACAAGTGCTCGTGCAGCGAGGCCACCACAGCCTCCTCCCACATCTGGGAGTACGCACACGGCACGTCAGGGTGGGGAACGCAAGGCGAGATCGACTTCAACATTACCAGTCTACCCAACTCGCCCAACAATTCGCGGCCCCCATCGTCCTGGGATGTAGATGATGGTGCCGGCTATTTCAGCAGTGGTGATGGGGTTTCCTCCCTTGAAGTATCCATATCGCAGATGCATCATTCAGGCACCAGCACCTTGTCAGGTAATTTTCTTGTGCCTTCCGGGGAGGATTTGCCATCTCGCGACAACGGGGCGTCTCTTGATTGAGATTGTCTAACAGTATCAACCTCTGTGATGCGAAGCTGGCTGGTTTGTAGGCAACCATCACAACACGTCACCACAAGCCAGGCCTTATCAGAAGTACTCCCACGTAGGAGCTTGGTTGTTTTGTCCAACTTGTGCATTTTGCTTCGTTCACATTTTTTGGGGTCATGCAGGGGCTGGTGGCCTAGCTCTGCGTGCCATGCAGGCCTGGATGGTTTGGTCGTTTATTACTGAAGACTTCGGTAGAAGCACATGGAGAATGGCGTTGAGGACTGATATTGGTATTGCTGCCAGTGGCGAGGATTTGGGGTGGAAGGAGGTGGGGGTCGGGAACGATAGTTGCTACGGACTGGGTTGGGTCCAACTTCCGTGATTGGGCGTCACCGATGCGCTCCATCGACTTCACGCATTACAATGACCATAATGATAAGACATTCGTTCATTTGATCCTATGTGTCTCAACAGTGTGACGATATGCTTCCTGGCCAGCTCTCTATATTTTGAGAGGTTTTAACTTGTTTGTTCATTCATCTACCTGGCGTTCTATTTTGTGCATCCCGCGTCATCATGTCCACGTCCCACATCCCATCGTCTCATCTCTACAGGAAGACCTCGAGGTTGATCTCAAGGGTGCTCACGGGGTATCTGGGAGGGGTCAGCATCGTGTTCTACGCAACCATGCAAGAATAGGAAAGGGGAAATCGGGGGGACAAGGCAAACTCACTTCAGGTCAAACTTGTCCAGCACGGTCGGGTGCAGGATGCCAAACTCGCCGATGCGGTGCTCCTTGCCGCCGACACGGAGGTAGACGCCAGCGGCGTGGCCGGCGAAGAAGGTGGGCTCGTCGACCTCCTCGATCCAGTAGCCGTCCTGCGGGGTGGGATCGACACCCTTCTTGGCAGCGAGGCCCTCCTCGCGGGCGACGAAGGCGGTGCGCAGCATGAGGAGGACGCGGTCGAGGAGGCCGTGGACCACCTCGAAGCCCGACGTCTTGCCGTACCAGGCGGCAGCAAAGTGGCGCTCGTTGCGGGCCCTGCGCTCCTGCGTCTCGTCCTTGAAGACGACGTCGGCGACCTCGAAGATCTTGAGGGGCACGCTGTGGCCCTTGTTCTCGCGAATCGTCTTGAGGAGGCCGGGGAGGAGGGTGGTGCGGACGACCTGGTACTCGGCGGTCTTGGGGTTGGCGAGGCGGACGGCTGTTGTGCCGTCGTCCTTGCGGTTGAGCCAGGCAAAGTTCTCGTCGTGGGCGCAGAGGATGAGGGGCATGACCTCGCTCCAGCCGGACATGGCGGCCTCGGTACGGATGATGTCGCTGAGCTTGTTGATGGGGAGGGGCGCGCCAATGGTGGCGCTCTTGTTGGGGGTGGATCGGGGCAGGTTGTTGTAGCCGTGGCAGATGGCGAGGTCCTCCATGACGTCGCACTGGTGCAGCACGTCGGCGCGGGTCACGGGGATGGAGACCTCGAGAATGTTGCTGTCCTTGGACGAAGGCTTGGCGATGTAGGCCATCTTGGAGAGCAGCTGGCACAGCTTCTCGGGGGCCTCGTTGAGACCGGTGCAGGCGTTGAGGTAGTCAATCTCAACGTCCATCGTCCTCAGGGCGAGAGAAGGCGTCGTCCTCGTCTGCTGGTTGTGGTCTGAGACAATCTTGACGGGCTCGACGGTGAAGGGCTCGGCGCAGTTTCCGGAGAACATGGTCACCATCATGTCGCAGACGACCTGCAGCTTGGTGGCATCGGTGGCGGTGATCTCGATGAAGACGTTCTTGGTGTTGACAGTGATCTTGGAGTGATCGCCGTTGATGATGGGTGGCAACGAGCAGACGGTGCGGTTCTTGTCGAAGATGACGGGGTACACGGGCGCGTCGCGAATGATGTGAAGATATTTGCCGAGATGCTTGTCCGCCTCGTAGAACTTCATCAGCTCTTCGCCGTCCATCTCCTTGGTCTGGTTCAGGGGCTTGAACTTAATGTCCTTGGGAGGCAGCGCCTCGTACGTGAAGGGACCTTCTATCGTGTCGAGATCGTGGGTGCCGATAGAGACCAACGTCCTTTGCCTCGCGAGGTTCATGTGCAGCTTATCTTGCAGGGAAATGAAGGAGTTGTAGCTCTCCTGGGTGAACTTGATGTTCCTTAGGATGGCGCCGGCGACGAGAGGGCGGACCTTGGCGGTGTCTGGGTGCACACTGATGACGGAGAGTTCGGGGTTCTTGGGTTCCACGAGCTTGTAGTTTGGGGAGGGCGTCTTCTCCCGGAAGATATTCAGCATGAGCGCAATACCCTCAAAACACAGCATGTCGTAGCGGTTGGCGGGGATCTCGATCTTCAACTCGGGGGGTGCCTGGACGCCATCGACGATAGGTCGGTCGTCATTTTCGGTATCCTCGTCAAGCTCAATGCCGAACTCGAAGCAGAGGTCCTCGAACTCCTCTGTGGTGAAGCTAGGCAAGGTTCCGAGAGTCAGCTTTCGGCGGCATGGGTTCGGAAGGAGAAGCTTCGGCGATGTTGCGATACGGGGTCACGAATGGTGGGGTCGAGATGATCAAGACACAGGGTCTTGGTCAGTCACGGAGAGGAGGGGTGAGGCGCAACTCACTTCTGTCCCAAGGCCTTGTACAGGTCGTACTTGTTGACGGTGATGGTCGGCATGGTGGCGTTTGCGTGTTGGATAGGCCGTGGTCAATTGCGAGTGTAGGTCTATGCCAGGCCGCCGGGGATCGTGTATGCACCGGGCTTGGGAGTGTCCTTGAGTCACAGGAAATTTTGGGGGGGTCGTGGTGAAGCCGCCGTCCGAAACCCGGGGGCGGTTAAAGTTTGACGCTGCTCTAAGAGGAGGGGTTGGAGGGGCAGAGAGGGCTCATGGATGGTCTGGTGGGTGCCTGAGGAGGGGTCAGGAGCAGCACCATGCCACCCGCCTTATAATTAGGCATGACTACCTAGGTAGCACCAGCCAACCCTAAAAGCGGCAACGACTGCACAGCTTCGTGGCTCGTGCACCAGGTGTGGCTCCAGCAGGGCACACTCCAGCCACTTTGCTGTCTGCCGCCCTCCTGCACCAGCGGGGTAGGCGCGCTGTAATTTCAGGGGGCCCAACGCCCAAGAGATGAGGAGACGAGGTGGAGAGCGAGGGACGCAGAGAGGAGAGGGAGCAGGCGTTACCTACGTGCTGGGCAGGGAGATACGTACCGCGTAGGTACCACGACCTTGGCCCGTCATTGAGCAACAAAGCTTCGCCTGAGGTGGCTCGAGTGGGTGGGACCCGGGTGCGAACCTGAACCTCGTCGTCAGAAACAACGGATTGCCATTGCCATCCCTCTGCTCTGCCTTCTGCCCCATCTTTGACCATCACCATCACCCACACCCTCGCGCGCCCGCTCTCCAGCTGACCTTGCCCACTCCATACCCATCTTCCATTCTGGCACAGGTCGGCCTTTTGCTCGCAACCTCCGTCAACGATTATCCTGCGTCCGATCGGGCTCGTTCACCGATCCCACAACCAGCCAACAACCGCAGCCCGCCGTTGTTTCCCTCGCCGCCTGCCCAAGCCGCCGCCCGCACCAAACCCACCACACTACCTATCCAACCAACTACCCGCCCCCCATTGCATCACACGCACGCGATCCCTCCTGATCGCCCAGCCGACGACCGACAACCTGTGCATCTACAACACTATCCCCTCCATTCACACATAGACGCGCATTCCTCCACATCGCTCGCCATGGCAGACGCGCCGAATGCCACCGACGAGCTCTACCCCATCGCCGTCCTCATTGACGAGCTCAAGGTAGGCACCAGAGCCCAGCTCGCCCGCGCGAATAGCATCACTGGCACGATCATTTGTTGACTCTGGCTTTCAGCACGACGACGTCCTTCTCCGTCTCAATGCCATTCACCGTCTCTCCACTATTGCCCTCGCTCTCGGCGCCGAGCGCACTCGCGATGAGCTGATTCCTTTTCTCGATGGTCAGTTGCTCAGCGAGCCCCCCCCCCAAACCTTCCGGTGCCCCTCCTCCTTCTTCTAACAACAGTCTAGAGTCTGTCGAGGACGAGGACGAGGTTCTTGTTGCTCTCAGCGAGGAGCTCGGTAGCTTTATCGAGTACGTCGGAGGTCCTGACTTTGGTCACGTCCTCCTGTCCCCCCTCGAGAACCTTGCCGCGATAGAGGAGCCCGTCGTCCGTGACAAGGTAGGCAGATTTCCCTCGTCCGTTTGGCGAACCATACTTGACTAACAATGAATAGGCTGTCGAGTCCCTCAACAAGATCTGCAACGAACTCTCTCCCAAGCAAGTCGAAGAGTACTTCATCCCCCTCACATTCCGCCTCTCCAAGGCCGATTGGTTCACCTCCAAGGTGTCCGGCTGCGGCCTCTACACGGCCCCTTACAGTAAGGTGTCTGCCGGCACCCAGGAAGATTTGCGAAAGGCGTTCGGTCAGCTTGTTCATGACGAGACACCCATGGTCCGTCGTCAGGCCGCCACCAACATGGCCAAGTTTGTCAAGGAAATGCCCGCCGACGTTGTCATTGAGGAGATGATGCCCCTTTTCCAGCACCTCGCCCAGGACGACCAGGATAGTGTCCGGCTGTTGACTATCGAGATTTTGGCTTCCATCGCTGAGGTCGTTCCCAAGGAACAGCAATCCAGCCACGGCGTTCTCCTCGCTCTTCTGCGCAGCTTGATCGAGGACAAGAGCTGGAGGGTGCGCTACATGATTGCCGACCGCTTTGAACAGGTGAGTGTCAAAATTTGGCAGGGCAACAAGAGGCGTTTGTTCTAACGTTTGGAACAGATCGCAAAGGCTGTTGACGATGAGGTTCTTTCCAGAGACCTTGTCCCTGCCTTCGTCAAGATGCTCAAGGACACCGAGGCTGAAGTCAGGACTGCCATCGCTGGCCAAATACCCGGCTTCTGCGCTCTCATCGACCGCAATGTCCTGCTTAATGACATCATGGGCAGCATCGAAGATCTCGTTTCCGACACCTCCCAGCACGTCCGGGCGGCGCTTGGTACGCAGATTAGGCGGTCTCCGCTCCTATTTCCTCGGCAGCAGAGTACGTTGTCCCCCGAGCTCATCCCTTGCCTTCTGCTAACAGCGCAGACTATGACCACTGCTCCCATGTCTTCAGATGCTCAGATGAGTCCTTGAGTCCGCCTGCACATCATTTCCAAGCTCGAGCTTGTTAACCAGGGTATGTGCATTCTGCGAACAATGAAGTCGGATAAAGAGGCTAACAGCGTGTCAAGTCATCGGCATTGAGCTGCTCTCGCAGGTCGCTGCTCCCGGCTATCATCCAGCTGGCCGAAGACAAGCAATGGCGCGTTCGTCTGGCCATCATCGAATACATTCCGCTCCTGGCCAGCCAGCTCGGTGTCAAGTTCTTCGACGAGAAGCTGGCTAATCTTTGCATGGGCTGGCTCGGCGATACGGTCTTCTCTATCCGAGAGGCTGCTACGCACAACCTGAAGAAGTTGACCGAGGTTTTCGGTGTTGAGTGGGCCAACGAGGCTATCATTCCGAAGGTCATGGCCATGGGCAACCACCCCAATTATCTCTACAGGATGACCACCTGCTTCGCCATTACTGTGAGTTGACTTTTGCTGCACGAGACTTTGTGCGTGTCGGTCGTTGTTGCTAACCGTGTGTAGACGCTCGCCTCGGTTGTCAGCATGGACGTCATTGCGAAGAGCATCCTGCCCCAGCTCCTCGACAAGCTTGCCGAAGACGACATTCCTAACATTCGCTTCAACGTAGCCAAGACGTACGGAGTCCTCATTGACGTGCTGCGTCGCTTGCCTGAGGAGGGCACCATTTATGCGCTGGAGAAGGAGGGCGCCAGCTTCACGCCGTCGCCGCGTGGCATGGAGCTCATTCAGTCAAGGATTCTGCCCAAGCTGGAGAAGCTGCAGAAGGACGACGATGTGGATGTTCGCTTTTTCGCCACGACAGCTGCCAACAGCGTGACGGGTGCGGCGGCAAGCGGCGAGCCGATGAACACATCACCATAGATGAGATGAGAGACGTAATGAAGCAATTCCCACTTTCGACTCGACATACCTTTTTTTCCGTTCATCGCCGGTGAGGCAGAGATACCTCGCCGGCTCATGAGGCAATGGCAATAACAACGGTCTAACAGCACTAGACAGGGCGATCGGGTGGAAAAAAACACGAAGCCAGGACAGGGGAGCAGAAAAAGCATGGAGAGGGGAGGTCGAGTGCTAGACAAGATGTGATACAGGCGGCGGCAGGTGCCAGTTCGAAGAGAGAGTCCTGGTACCAAGCGATGGCTGTCTGGTATCGTTTGCGTTTCTGCGGAAGACACGGTGTATCATTCGAAGTAGCTGAGCAGTCTTCACACAACGAATGGAAGGTGATGGTAACATGAAAGGGTGTTTGGACAAGATGCTTTTGCTAAGTTGATGAACCTCTCTCCCGCTCCGTGCCTGATCTTCTCATTTTCCTTCTCAGGCCCTCTGCCTCTGAAAGGCGACCGTGCTGATAGCCTGCCCCTTGGCGCCGCCAAACTGGAAGCTCGGATATGCGACCCGCCCGACCATGACGAGCTTGCCCCCGGCGCCGCCGTCGCCAGCCCCTTCGAACCACGCCCTCAGCTCGTCCTCGGTCCAGTTGCAGCTCGTCACGAGAAACAGGCCGCCCTCCTTGACGAGCGTGAGCACCCGCGCGCGTAGCCCTCGCTGACGCGCCTCCCCGTCGCGGCGTCCTGCTCGCCAGAGAGGCACACGGCGTCAAAGGTGCCCTTGTCCAGCACGACGGACCACCCCTCGCGCTGCCGGCCGTCGAGCACGGCGCCAAAGTCCCCGCGCAGCACGTCCCACTCTGTAAAACCAATATGCGCCTCGCCCTCGCCCTCGCTCTCGACGTCCTTGTCCTCGTCTTCCTGCGCGGCCCGCCTCGCCGCGGCAATCTGCCGCGCCAGCGCCACGCTGCGCTCGCTGTAGTCGACGCCCAGCATGCGGCCGGCCCAGCCGTCGTCGCGCAGCGCGAACAGCAGGCTGCCGTTGCCGCAGCCGAGGTCGAGGAACGCGGCGTCGGCCTGGCGCAGGTCGTGGTCGAATGGGGCTGATTCAGGGAGGGTCTCGAGGTAGGCGAGCACGCGGGCCTCGGCGTCGGCGTCGTCGAACCAGACGGTGCCCTCGTCGGACGGGTCGGCCGCGTGGTTCGTGAGCTCGCGCGTGTACAGGGGCGTCCCAGCTGGAAGGAGCAGCGCTCTCGCGTCAGTCGCCGGAAGGGCCACGGAATCTGCGGGGGCGGAGGGTACGGAACAGAGACAATGGGAAAAGGGGGGGGGCAGCGAGCCGTACTAGTCTTTTGTGCCGAGCTTCGAGGGCTCTAGGTGGGCTGGGTTTTGGGACATGGCGTCGCGTGTTTGGGAACGAAGATAGGACAGGTGATTTGGGAGTCTTGGTTGGGTTGCTGGCGCTCTCTTGATGTTCCTTCTCGGTGCTTCTGCAAGTCGTCTCGATCACAATCGATCAAAATGTCGGGTTTACCATGGTGTTGACAGTCGTGGTGGGGTGCTTGGCAATTTGGTCTCAAAACGGCAGGCGGTGACATCTCAACGTCCGCCAAGACGCCCATGAGGAGGGGCAGGTGAGGGGTCCTCGAAGCTCAAGGCGTGATTCAGTACCATCAATTGTGCAGCTTGGTCTCGTCCCCGGACTTCAAGGTGGGCAGGCACTGGTCAAACTATGAACGTGAATCACAGCACTGCATACAGCGTAACGAGCGTCTTGCTTGGTATCATGCTACGTACGTACGAGCTCGTCAAGCCGAGCGAAGCCCTTCTGTCTGAAAAATACCAATCCGCCCCGCCAAGCGGCACAGACAAGGGGACTGTCTGCCACAAAATGCATCGTCATGTCTTTCGTAAGCCTCGTCATCCACCCGTGTTCCTCGCCTACCAAGTGACGCACGAACCATGTGTTTCTCTCTTGAAACTTTCGCCTTCGAGCATCCTTCACCCCAGCGTCCAGACAGGCGCCTTTGTGAGCACCTGTCGACCGCGGACCTCCACAGCCAAGAATGCCGCAAACCGGACCTTGTTGCTGTCCTTCGGTGGTAGTGCTGAGGAGACAGGCGCGTCAGTACTAGACGCCAAGCTACTCTTTCTCGGCGGGAACGACGACGTGGAGCTGCTGCTGCCACCGCCGCCGCCGAGCAAGGCGGAGAACATACCGCTTCTCGACTTCTCTGTGCGCCCCTTGCCACCCGTCTTTTCTTTCGTGTCTGTCTCGTCATCTTCTGCGTCGTCGCTCGCCGTTTCCACAGGTGGAAGTCCTGTCTTCTCGACATCCATCAAGTCCACGTTGACTGCATCGCCAGGCAGCGGATACGTGATGGCTACGTCTCTGCTCTCGAGCGGCATGTTGGCAGCGATGCCCACGGCCAGCTCTACAATCATCGAGGCGCTTCCGTCAACACCTGGTGGCGGTGGTCGCCAGTACTGTAGAGTGCGTCGTCAGTTCGCGTGTTCCAGTCGTCAGTGCGCCCGATCTCTTCGCTCTCCGCGGAGTCAGTGTCTCTGCAGACTTCCAGCGTAGCATTCTCCAGCTGACAATCTTGGCCGTCAGGGCGTCAAACTCTTCCCGCGCGTTCATCGTGTATGAGTTGCGCCGGATGCTCAGCTCAATCTCCTTGAGCTGCTGGCTGAGCCCAGGGCTCAGGCCAGGATGGAAGCACTTGTTGAAGATCTCCTCGACGATCCATCGCGTAATGACCGCCCGGCCAACCGCCGTCATCTCCTGCCGCCCTGTCTTGAGCGCGTCACTGCTAACATATCTGTCGAGCCACTGCGGCACGCTCTTCCAGTCTTTACGAATGTTGAAGGACAGGTTATTGATGGCACCATTGAGACGGTTGAACCTGGTCAGGTACTCGCTGTCGTCGAGCGCCGTCCGAGATTGGGTGATGCGCTGGTTTGCGACTGCGTTCTGCAGCTGCTCGATCTGCGAACCCAGATTCTCAATTTGACTCTTTCCATCAAAGTAGAGGCGCTTAACATTTTTGTACTTGACCACTACAACGCATTAGTCAAAATTCCCATCGACAGTCAAGCGTCTGCACATACGTAGCTCCTTGAACTTATCGGGATCGGCGGCATCGCGGTCAACGTTGGTAGGTTGAGGGCTATTGCGGCCCTGGTCTCCCGACTGTGAGTCGAAGGTAGGCTGCCTCTCCGGACCGGGAACGGCGCGTAGGCCCGCAGCCTGGCCTGTTGTCGAGGAGCCGGTAGGCATGGGGGGCTGGCTCTGTCTGTAGTTAGGAGGAGCTCCTGTCTGTGTTTCGCTTTGTCCACGCAGGCTCTTTTCCGAATCTTGCTGTCGCCGACTCGCACCCGGTGCCATTTCTCTCTGTTGATGATTTGGAGGCAGCAGAGTCACCGGGCTATCGGTTGCTTGGTGCGAAGCGTAATGCACGGCAGGGGAGTGTTGGTTCGAATAGGTGCCTGAACGGGCGTCTAGGTCGGCAATGGGTGATTCGTGGGACAGCTGCGAACTCGTCTCCGGGTTCTGCTGTCTCGAGTTTGTTGACAGATGGCCGCTGTCGGTGAATATGGGGGGTGGTCCGCCGGGGTATTGTTCGTGTGCTTGGCTGGTTCGCTGGTAATGTTGTTGCTGAGGCGAGGAATCAAAGGCAGCTTGCCCGTACTGGTCTTGTTGGTCAGGCGACGTCTGGAGCAGTGGGAGGCCTTGTTGTTGCAATGGTTGCTGCTGGGCTGAGTGATGTTGTTGGTGATGTTGTTGGTAGGCGCTGTCCTCGTAGGGAGACGATTCCAAGTCGCTGGAGACGTAGCGAACCGAGTTTCGGGTGTTGACGTCTTGGGAAGTCTGCGCAAAGGTGTCGCGATTAGAAGAATGTCCAAAGTACTGGTTCTCGGCCTCGCCGTATCCTTGCAGAGGTGAAGGTTGTGTTTGCACAACAGGAGGGGCCCAATCAGAGGGTTGGTCCAGAGAGACCTGGGACAGCTGTGAAGGGCCGGTCCTGATGGATGGTGGGTTGCTCACTCGCTTGGAAGGCCGTCGGGCTAGTCCACCGGTATTGTCGTAGGGCTGTGCCTGGGCTGACTGGGGCGGCTGTGACAGGGACGACTGCTGCTGGTGATGATGGTGGTGGTCTCGGCCTGACCCTGTCAAGATGTTCTTAATCAGTCTGCGGGTCGACCGTTTCTCTGGCTGTGCAGGAGGAGCGGGCGCGGGCGGCGCGTGACCTTGGTCTTGGCTCAGACCACCGGGGGCAGCAGGGTGGAGGGTGGACTGGAGATCGTCGACCGAATTGGAGGCGGCACTGTAATGCGGATGGACTTGCAGAGGAGCAGTGGTAGAATAGCGTTGAGATTGCGACCGGGAAACCGAGTCGGAAAAGTCCTGGTTCCTGAATCGGGGGTCGAAAGCTCCGGGAGGCGCTTGTCCAGGCACAGACGCGGGGTTGTGCAGCTGTGATGAGCCGCGATGGGGGGAGGCTGTGGCGGGGTTGTTGTAGTCGTGGGAGAGCGCTTGCTGCTGCTGTTGCTGCTGCTGCTGCTGCTGCTGAATAGCTCGGTCGAGGGCTTCGCTCTGGCTAAAGACAGCAGTGGGGGAAGCGGAATGACGGAGGTTGGCGGTATTGCTGCCGCTGCTGGGTGTGGTAACAGTAGAGGTTGAGATGATGTTACGGTGGTTGAGGTTGTTTGTGTTGATGGCGCCTGCCGCAGCCTGTTGTTGTTGTTGCTGCTGCTGAGGGGAAGCGCCAGATGCGGCAGAAAGGGAGGAGGAAGTAGCGCTGGGGGGTGCTGAGGAAGGCGCCGCAGAGGCTGGAACGCTGAGGTTGAGGTTGTGACCACCAGCGACAGGCCCAACACTAGGGCCTGCTGTTGTCGTCGACGACGACGAGGGCACTGATCCTCCTGGTAGTTGTCCAGGTCCTGGTCCTGGTCCTGGTCCTGGTCCGAGTCCTTGACCTGCTCCAGATCCTGTCCCAGGTCCGGAAGCTGAGGCTGGTAGTGGAGATGACTCGGGAGCAGTAGCAAGCGCGTTCTGGGAGCGATTGCTATGCCTGCCAATGCGGCCGAAGACTGGCATTATCAGGTAAACGGCGGACGCGCAAAAGGTGGACGGGATGGAGAAGGGCAGACGTGTGTTCCGCCCCTGTCTCGACAAGACAGACAACCAACTTCTGTGCCAGGACCGTGTGAGAGGCTTAGACGCGGTGAGCTGCAAGGTCCCCTTTCCGACTGGGCTGTCAGAGTTGCGAGATGGTCGCTTCGAAGCAGGTTGCGCGCAGTGCTGGCTGCCGCTAGCTGGCTGGCTCACTGGGCTCGCTAGCGAACTGCGCCGGTCACCTTGGCTCGCCTTGCAGTGAACAAGGAGCAGGAGCAAGGGCCAAGCAAAGCAAAGCAAAGCAAAAAAAAAGAGCCACCGCGAACCAAGGCCAGGCGGAGGGAACAAGGACGGGTTCGGGAGGGCAGGATGTGAGGCAGTGGAGGAGTGAGAGTGGGAGTGGGAGTGGGAGATGATGCGCTGTGTTCCTATTTTTTGCGCTGGCGTTCCTCTTGGTCAGGTTTCCCTGCAAGCTTCCTGCCAGCCTGACCTGGCTGACCCAGCCTTCAACCGCTCTGACTGGGGAGACTGGGGGTGGTAGCGGGACGCCGTGGCGGAAGAGGGGTCAATAGAGGGTAAAGGGGCAGTGCTATCAAACCAGTGAACACCTGCTGCGTCTATCATCAACGCTATTCCTTTCCCGATCGGGAGACAGCAGAGCTGCAAGCTCAGCCTGGTTCTCATGTTTTGAGGAGGGCGGGGCGGCGGACGAGTGAAGAGTGCGTGGGCTGGCAGTGCGGAAGCAGGTACCTACATGGTCTGCAGCCTGAGAGACCTGCTGTAGAGCACGCAGGAGAAACAAGTTTCAGGGTAAATTACCGCAACCCATGCAGACAATGGGCACTGTCACCACCTTCAAACAGCGACAACACATCGAGAAGACGGCCAGGCAGGCCAGAAATCCGGGGTCCTCGGAGCTTGGCTCCTCGGACGGCAGGGCAGCTACCTAGGTACCTTGCCTTGGGTGCCTGCCTAGTAGGTAAGCTGGGTAGGTAGGTACTTTGGCTCGTAATATTGGCCTCAGCGCCCGCCTAATTCCCACAAGACAACACCACAATGGCACAAGTCCAGACAGGGCTGACCACATAGAACCACATTCTCGAGCCATTCCACAGCAGACCAACATGTCCCAGACTCGAGCCTTTCTGTCTCGTCGATCCTGGGCGTAAATCCTTCTACATCAGGGCGGGTCCTCGTGTTCCCCTTGTTCTCCACACTGAGACTATTGCTCACTCTTTATTATGCTTTTCTTCCAAAGCAGAAAGGACCCTTCGAGCATTCGAGACTACCTTACATGCTGGTGCGGCTGAGAGGCAAGCTACTAAAACCTGCTGGATGCGGCGGCAGGGGACTGGGCCGAGCTGCGAACAACGACCTTTTGCGTCCATGACACAGCACACACCCACGCCACATGATGTTCGAGTTGAGTTTTGACGAGTAGGTTTATTCTTGCGAGTGAGATTATTTAGTCTGCTCCATGGGATGGCCAAACCAAATGCCCTTTGATCTTCTCCCCTGCCAGCTGTCTCCCCCTCCCCACACCAAGCTGCATCCGTCATCCTAGGGTCGCGCTCGAGAGACGCACTGATCAGCAACGTCTTCGTCATTGCCAATGCGCAAATCGTCAATTGCGAGATAGTTCCCAGCTTTCAACATAAGTGGAAAGCGGTCGTCTCTGGGGAGGAGACCATGCAGATGGAAGCTTGCGTCGATCGGCTTCCCCTCTTGGTCGCGGCGAGTAACAAAATCTTGTCTATCGTGCTTGGGTCGTCAGCGCCATTGTCCGGAGTGGGTTGCGAGGTGGATAGCTCCTCGCTATTAATAGCATCACATTGCATTGCAGCTGGGTTCGGAGAGTCGGAAAGTGACGCTTGTTCACTCCCTAGTCCTGCCTACTTCCAAGCCTGGTTCGGGAGAGACCTTTGACCAACCTTAGGTACCAGCTTGGGTGCAGCTCGCACGGTCAGCGCCTCCACCCCTTCTAGTACAGAAGAAGGATCTCCAACTCCACGGTTGACGGCGTGTTCTACGAAGGATGTTCCCAGCCCAAAACGCCGCTTCACCCTGATGTCGGCGAATGGGCCATAGCTAGGTTGTCTGTCCACAATCCACATGAGGGTGCGGGGCCCTCTGTCGGTTGCTATTTGTCCCGTGACTCTCGAAAGCATATCTTGCACCGAGGGGTAGCCCGAGCTGTTGTGAATGTCACATTTCAGACGCCAAGGAGTATGCTACAGATATACCTGGCTTCGACCATTTACTCTTCACGGCCTTCAATACCGTTCTCAGAGACAGTGGAGATTCTGACACTCTCACAGAAGCCCATTCCTCAAGGGACTCTCTTTCCCAGCGAGGGCGAAAGGTCCACAGCCATCCCAGGGACCACGACTTGATAATTTTCTTCGCTGCGGGAAGCCTGATTCGAGGACAGACTGTATGCAGGTGGTGGATCTGACAGCAAAGGTGCCGCCGCCTGCGGTTGTTGGCTCGTCAGACCACCACAATCAATATGATGACTGGTGGACCGAGCATCGGCAGCACGACGCTGCTTGATCTCAAAGCACGCCAAGATGGACATTGCTAAATGAAGAACCCTAGGATGTTCAGCCCAGCGCCCCAGGGGGGGGGAGGGGGGGTTGCCACGGCTGTTGCGCCACTTACGCTGCCAGGATTCCGAAGCCCAGGACAATGCGAAGATATTCCTCGCCTGCCTCGTCTTGAAAAAAAGCAAAGTAGTAGCCCGAGTCATCGAGCTTTGACAGGGTAAAGGCGATCACGCCAGACATAGCTCCCAACCCGAGGAACAGTAGGCCGTCGACGATGATGCAAGCGATAGGATGGACGCCTTGGCGATCATTGACGACGGAAAGACAGAGAAAATCGACGCAGTTCCAGAGAAAAGCGAGAATAGCCTACCATGGCAAATGTCGATTTAGTATCACTGTGTGTAGGATGCGCGAGGTAGAGACGCACCGGAGGTCCCATCATGAGAAGAGGGCCTATAGTCCAGTTCGTAAGGTAAAAGACTGAAAATCCGACGGCGGCCATGTTGAACACGACGGACAGCAGGCGAAGGGACAGCCTGGACCACCAGTATCCCGTCGCTGGGCGACGGATCATGGCGGGCCTCCCTTCGCCGTCAATCAGGTATGGGTCGTACTGGCGATGCATGTTATGATGGAGCGGGTGGCTTGCGTCGTGAGAGAAGCATGTCAGGGTCTCGAGAATGGCTGTCGTTATAAAGTAGATGCGACTGAAGCATCAAACCAGTCTCAGCTTGGTGGATGAGGCTGAATTGATCACCAACATGCGGCGAGGCACTCTTGGTTAAGTACGGTCCAAAGAGGCGCTCCGTCTGAGCCACGTGCTGGGTTTGGAGACATCGAAAGGCGCACTGCGAACCCAAGCCTGTATCGCTGAGACCCTTACAGAGTATCCTGTCCTGCGACTTGGCGCAACGTGCTGAAAGAACTGAGACCATGAACCCACGTTCCCGGGCACGCAAGTAAAAGGCCGCTCCGAATTATCGAATCGGCGTCCTTGGCCTTGATGACAGGACGTGATGGCATGAAGGTTGGGTGAGGGAAGCGCTCAACGAGATTAGTCATGCATTACTGCCATCTGTGGTGAGGCGTGATTCCACTTTCTCACGCGACCGTCTGCACGTGAACTGCATGCTCAACCGCCGTGCCATATTGTTGTCAACCGCGATTGCCAACCAAGATCGATAACGAGGTGATAGAGGTCCGGTTCATATTCATGCAGTCATGCTCCTCTCAGTCGACGCCAAAAGTCGAGTTAGAGATCCCCCAACAACAACTCAACACCTGAGCACGCCTCCTCTTCTAGGGTTTAGGTACAAACCATAGGACCGCTCTTGTGGCATCGGCTTACGAACGGACCAAAATGGCTACACGCCGGCGTCTTGAAGCCATCACAGGGGTTTCAAATCAGTGGCGAATCCGGCATAATGAAGGATCACAGTCTCCATCACCCATCTCTTACAGTGGCTGGCAAACACGTTCAAGACGACCATAAGGCTAAACAGGGCTGTCTCCGTGACAGGTCACGCCCAAACAACCCAATTCATAGCCGTGGTTTTCGTACTCGTTGAACGCATACCATCCCCGCAACCGCGGAAGCCGGATGCTTCGTGAAGACAATGCTACACTAGAACTAGTCACATGTCGCCAACACGCCTCGAAAGCTTTGTGCTTGGCTCGGCGCCACGGCTCCTCTGCGGCAAGAAACCTGGCTATGCTCCGGTGTCCCACTCGTGATAGTAACGTGTCGACGGATCCACGCCTTGAGACTGTTTGCTTGTCACGGCAAGCTGCTTCACCTGAGCGGACCCAGGACTACAGATCATGACGACGCACTGCAGCCTCACCCGAATCATACGCTACGCCTACTGCTTCTTAAAAAATACCTTGGCGGCATGTTGAGCCCGGCCTCTCTCATTTTGAACCAGCAAAAATCTTCGTTGCAAGACACGTCAACGGCTATCTTAAGCTTTGGCCAGGATGGCTGTCCGTTTCAAGAGCTCCCAAAGGCACTGCCGAAGCCGTCACTAAAGTGATATAAGCGCCGATGGTAGACATGCTCGACAGTTTTCTCCCAGGCAAATGCGTGTCGCGGGAGCTCCTGTTCTCAAATTGCATAGCTGAGGACCTGAGTGGCTCATCGCAGCAATACAGAGTGCGAAGCATCATGATCCACCCGCCTGTCACACGGCATTCCCTCCAGAATTCGTCGTCAAGACGATGGAGGCCTCTATTGACCGCAAGATCGAGATTTTCATTGTAGGTGTGCATCTGCGGCACAACTTGGCAGTTAGTCAACGAGGCTGCCAGTGAAGGCTTGAGACTCCATTGGCGGGTCGAAACTGTGTTCGTGCTGGCCTTTGCTCTCTGCTGTTTGACCAAGGCTTGACTTCAGCAGGCCCAGCCGGCAGCTAGCCGTTGCGATGGGTGACGACGGGCGGTCACGGCGCGGTATCGACTGGCTCCATGTGGTTTCGGGGGTTTGCGGGTTGCCACCAACTGGTGCAAATCAAGTCCTCTCACTTCTCTGTCCGTCCTGCTTTCAGCTTCTGTTGTGATCGAAATGCAGCGCCAGGACTTCAACACTGGCGGTCAGAGGCAAAATTCATTCTCCCGAGACACTGGGCCCGGCCCTGTGTGACATGCCTCGGTATCAATGTCATCAACCTTGTCACTGTCGCCAATCTTGGACGCTGTGTTCAACATATGTCTCTCTCGGCACGGCTTACCGTGCGACAAACCGCAAGGGTAAGCTTGGATGCAGGTGTAACTCTAAGCTCTCCGGCAAGGACCCTTTGGGCAGGGTGCCCGCTTCAATGGTGGCTTCGTATAGACGGTCTGACTACCGATCTGGTCGATCTCCGGAGAGGCAAAGCCCTCTCTGTTTGTCGAAGGCACGGGAGATGCAAAGTTGGTTGCATCGTGGTCACGTCCAGGTTGCTAAATCTATTGCCAATGAGTGGATGCCCGCATCTACCCAACGATTCAGGAACCTGCGGTGTGCTTTGAATGGAAGAAGCTTGCCAGTGGCGGGAAGCGTCCAGCATGAGGCGGCACTCAATCCCTCGGGACTATAAAGTGACCAGAGGCGACATAGCTGATGATGCAAGTGTTGAGTCTTCGAACCGGCCGGAGCAGCAAATTCATCCTCCCTTGCCAGACTCAATCAATCGGCTCCCATTTTTGATCATCACCAATATGTATATTACGCGTCTTTTCTTCCTCCTTCCTCTTGTGGCAGCTATGCCCACCCTCGATATGACACCAGGGGATGGACCGAGGCCGCGATATCCGTGGCTCAACGTCACCTTTGCCGACCTCAAAGTTGGCTGCACGAAACCAGGACCGACCTCGCTCTACTCCTGCACGATGCAGTGTTAGTCAGATTCGAATGAGAAAAAGACTCATTTGCCGGTTATCTACTGATACGAATGCTAGTCAACTTTTACGATCCCAACTCGGAGCTTACGCAGGAGGTCAATGACGCCTTTTGCAAAGTTTCGTGGGACTGGGACGGCACAAGCACCGTCCAGGGCCCGGGCAACAATTACCCAGACGGCTTCACCATCTGCTCGGTCGCGTTGTACAACTCGTTCCAGGTGCAGATCAACGCCTTTCTTTCAGCATCAAACTGGCAGATGACGGTCAGCCACAAGTACAAGGACAATGTGTGAGTGGTGCTCTAGCCCGATTTGCCACGCGAGACTGTTGGTGTAGCTGATGGGACGACGGATTACACAGACATTTTAAGGAGCCATGGATCCTGCCCAACTCGTTTACGCAGGTGAATATTCCCGGGAAGCACCTTGATGTGTCGCAGATGCCCGTGGCGGGCCACTTCTTCTTTGAGGCCATGCCGTCGTTCACCCACCATATCTCGGGCTTGTCGTGATGGCCGATTGTGTCCATCGACGGACCACGGCACGACAAACAACGTGCGGAGGCGAGGGGGAACACCAAAAAGGCTGCCGTCCGACCCGGATAATGGCACACGACAGTTCGCGACGTTGGAGGCGTCTATCTCAGAAAGGAAGCTCGATGTCGTTGGTGGGCCGGACGATCACACTGCGGAGCGGGCATCCCTGCCAAGACCCGGCACTGGTAATGAAGAATGATGTGTATTGATGCAGATCCAGGGGTGAGAAATGTCAACGACGCCCCACAGACCCCGAACCCCCTCCTCCCGCCCCTTCGTGAAGGCGACGGAAGTCAGTAGGGAAGCTC